AGGGTAAGCAGGGGCAGCAGCAGCAGGGCCGGGTGAGCCCCCTGGGGCAGGCGCTGGGGGTTGTGCTGGGCTCTGTCCCCTGGGCTGCACCCCAGACATGTGCGACTCCTGGAAGGACCAGCTGATGGGGCAGAAGGTGGGGACAGAGTCCTGTCCCTGCACATCCTGGGAGTCACAGCTGGCAACCTCTGTCCTGCACTGTGGCGTGCCAGGCTGTGCTGTCCCACGCCATACTGTCCCACGTCCCCTGCCATGTGTCCCATGTCCCCCACCACGTGTCCCACATCCCCCGCCATGCCCTGACCCGCTCCCTGCAGGCGCGGATCCGGCTGAAGGGGGGTGCAAAGGTGGGTGAGGGACGTGTCGAGGTGCTCAGGAGCAGCGAGTGGGGCACGATCTGCGACGACCGCTGGAACCTGCAGTCAGCCAGCGTGGTGTGCCGGGAGCTGGGCTTTGGCAGCGCCAAGGAGGCCCTGACCGGGGCACGCATGGGACAAGGTGAGGGTGCTGGGGGGGGGCAACAGCATCGCCCTCCCGGGGCTGCCCGTGAGGCACTTGTCTGGGCACAAGGGTCTGCTGGGCGGGGGGGCCGTGGCTGGGCTTGTCTCCTGGCTTGTCCCAAGCAGCCCTGGTGGCCACAGACACTCAGCCCCAACCATGGGGCCAGGGGTGCTCCCAGCTGCCTTGGTGCACCCCGGGGGAGGAGGGCAAGATGGCCACGTCAGTCCCTGTGTCGCTGAGCCCTGAGCCCCGCTGTCCCCTGCAGGGACAGGACCTATCCACTTGAATGAGGTGCAGTGCCTGGGCACAGAGAAGTCCCTCTGGAGCTGCCCCTACAGGAACATCACACGGGAGGACTGCAAGCACACGGAGGACGCGGCTGTCCGTTGCAACATCCCCTACATGGGCTACGAGAACCTGGTGGGCACCGTAGAGGCTGCTGGCATTAGGGGGCACAGTGCCTGGGGGCTCCTGGTGTTGGGGACCCTGGAGTGGGGTGCTTGGGGGGCTCATGGGACCCACTGTAGGGTGCTGCCATCATCTCTCTTCTGCAACCCACACACTTTCCCACATTCTGAGGCAAGGGCTGCCCTGGGGGTTTGAGGATGTGGGTGGGAGTGCCAAGGTGCTCCCATGAGGCAGGAGGTGGGAGGGAGGTTGTGGGAGCTCTGGGTGCCCTGTGGGGCCCTGCTGTGTGAGGCAGTGTGGGGCAGCTGCTCCCTCCTGCTCTCCCTGCTGCCCACCCATGCCAGCTCCCCAGCAAAAGCACCAGAAAAAAAAAATCACTGTGGTCCAACCAAGAGAGATTTTTTTTTAACTGCTGATGAAATGAGCAAATGGAGCTGCATGCTCCTATTTGCCCTGGCCTGTCATTTCATCCACTTTGGGCTTTTTAATAATTTTTGAGACTCTCATTTCTGAAATGAGCATGCCATTTCAAAATGAACCATTTTCCCTGCTTTGGTGAGACAGTTTCCAAACTCACAAGCAGTTTCTTGGCCCCAAACCTGCCACTTTTGGCAAGGTCCCTGCAGACAAAAGCTGTGCCTGGCTCTGCTCAGCTCCCGCTGCCCCCTCCCTCTGTGCCCTGCAGCCCCCGGCCCGCGGCCTGTCGGGGCTGTGCTGGGCCAGGTAGGACCCTCCCGTGGGTCGCAGCCCCCCAGCACCGCGTGTGGTGACACTGGTGCTGCCACCGCCCCTCTCCGCAGATCCGGCTGAGC